GCATCCCGGACCCTGCATCCCGGCACCGCCTCCCGGGACGGCATCCCGGACCCTGCATCTCGGCGCCGCATCCCAGTATCCCAGCTCCTGCATCCCGGACCCTGCACCCCACCGCTTCCCTTTGCATTTCACCTCCTTTCCGGCCACATTTCACCTTCCTCTGTGCAAGCTTTTCCTCCTCTCACCTTACCAGGCATTCAGTGAATGGCAGTGATTATTCCTCTTTTATTTTGTGATCATACAGAACAGAGTTTCATCTGTGCAGCCCACAGGCATATAGATACACAGACAAGATATAGATTTGGGAAAGTAGTGTATGTCCCAGTGGCTGCAACCAGACAAGTGGATGGTTCTTTCTCATCGCATTGACTCCCCTTCTTTACATCTCCTGGCCCTGCTGCAGCTGTGGAGGGGATGTGCATAGGAGCTCAGATGGGAGATTGGGAATTTCCTGCGTTTTATTCTACAGCTGAATACCAGGAATAAAGTATGAAGGAGTTTCAGTAAAGCCTTACCAAATTATGCTCCCCTCTCCCAGGGTACACAAATCACCGAAGTGTTCCTGTGACTCAGTTTATAAAATTGGTACAAGAAGTCACCCACCCTCCAAAGGTCTCTGGAGGACCGGTTAGTAGACAGACCTAAGTTCTACTAAATCCTGATGCTGCTACTCCATGACATCAGATGACATTTTTCTTCTTCCTTACATGAACAAGAAGGAGTCTACTAAATGCAGAGTGAGACAAGGATCCTAAGTTTCATAGGATTCCTGAAACTAAGGGTACAAAAAAGAGATTCAAATCTCCGGACCCTTGCAGTATCTGCATGGCCTGATTTCTAAAAGGTACTTGGTCAGGAGCATAGATAAATCAGGAAGAAGCTGGTCCCACGCACAAGTACCTCTGATTGGTGACATTGCACCCTTTGCACTCACTATTGGAGAGGGAGGCTGTGGGTATCTTGAAAGAATTGCAGTCTTTCTCTGATTTCAGCAGTTGAAACACTTTTGAGGGAAGCAGGTGCTCACTGCGCTCCAAGAATGAGTAAGACGGGTATCAAAGTCCCTTGACTGCACTGGAAATCCCCAAAGAAAAACCAAAGCCTAATTTTCTGATGTTAGTCACGTCAATATAGTGTTTTAGCGAGTGCACAGACACTACAGAGATGTGGAGATATGGAATAGGATAGAAGAAACCCCTTTATTTCAAACTAATGCTGTTACAATGGTAGCAACAGCCTCTGGTAATGCACAGTCAGCGCCCTGGGCCCACTCGCATTACAAGTGTCCTGCAAGAAGGGAAGAGTGTTTTTACAGAAAGTTGGTGGCATTTAGGGGGTTTACCTATAAAGTGGAAAATCCCCTGCTGCTCAAGCAGACTTTGGAAGCTGCAGCCTTGCAACATCTGCTAAGCAAGCAAGGTGCTGTGCCTGCACACAAACAGCCTGGTGCTGCCAGGAGCCCAATCAGTTATGAGCTGTCGCACGATATTCATGGCATCTCTCAAGATCTACCCTCACTGATCTAGCTGCACTTTGCATTTCCAAAGCTGTACTTACATTTATTGATGTCAGCAAGTTTTGTGTGTGTGTGTGTGTGTGTTTAAAACATTTATTTGGTGACATCAGCTGTGTTTCTGAGAAGGCAAGTTATGGAAAAAAAAATGTTTAATAGAGACATTTCCGGTTCTTGCTGTGCTGAGGCAGCTTATATCTGTTTTCTAGTTTTATTTCTCAAGTTAATTCTTTTACCTGAAACATTTCAGTGCAAGCCAGGAGAGACTGAAATTACTAGAGTTTCAGGACTGATCGATGGATATGTTCAATCACATCACCTAATTGGCTTCGCACTAGTAACAGTGTAAATCAGAAGTAATCCCACTGAAGTCAATAGGATTATATGAGCTTAAAAATACTGTGAGAAGGAGGAAAAGCAAAGCCACATTTGGGACTAAGTACCAAAGAGACCACACTGGTTTCATTGTCCTCTGTGATGCACAGATGCTGTAGATCAGGCTGCTTGAAGGAAGCCTGCTGATAAGGAAGGAGTCTTAGTAAGAAGCCATATTTTGTCCTAAAGAAGCTATCAGGAGATAATTAACTTTTGTCGTCCTGACCCCTTTTAACATAGGATGAGCATCCAGAGGGCACAGCCATGAGGAAAAGGGTCAGACTATTTCCACGAGCTTAATGCAGCTTTTGCCCACCGAGCCAAAGGGTACATGCTGCAGGACTGTGAAATGGGACTCAGTGGAGCTGTGGCCTCACTGGCATTCCCATGATTTCCACCTGTGGTGCAAAATGGAAAGAGTCTCATCAAAACACAGCAGGACCTAAAGAGGCTGTGTCTGCCAGCCAGGAGGAACCCAAGGGCTGTGAGACATGTGGATATATGGGCTGCTGCCAGCCAGGTCTGCGGAGATGTGACTCTGCCTGGGGAACTCTCTTCACTGCTGCCTGCCTCAGTTTCCCCACATCTGAGATGGATATAATGGGAGCACGGGCAAAGGGCAGTGAAACCAAGAGCTGAAAGTGGCATGCCAGAGTGCAAAGTGTTGCTGCCCAGACGTGGAAAGCCCCTTAAATGGGGTTTTGAGGGCTTGTCCTAGCACCAGTCACCTCTCACAGTGATATTCCTCTGCAGTGCATATGGCATTACAACTAGCTGGAGGCTGAGTGTGGACAGGCACAAGAGGAGGTCAAAAACCTGAACTTCTTTTATGAGGTGAAGTAGTACGGGCAAGCAACAAACAGCTTTCAATTCCTCTGTACACCCCACCAATTTAAGTGCTTATAAAGTCAGGCAGGGTGATTTCATACATCTCTGTCAGTGTGCTAGAGTTAGCAGAACTTGCCTAATTTTATTTCTCAGCAGCCACCATCTGAAGTCCCCGTAGCTATCTTTAACTCCCTCCTTCCAGTTAAGTGTCCTGCAAACAGCTGCCGGCTGGCGCTGATGGACTGTCCCAGCTGAGTGATGCTGCGACAAGTGCCAGCTGGGTCATGTCCTCTCCTGGGCTCAGTGGCAGAGCTGGGCTCTGTTCAGGCTGGTCACATGTGCACCAAGTGCCTTTGGTCCTCAAGAGCCCAAGGACTGTCACTCTGGTTCTGTGCATTGAAAAGGAACTGAACTCATCTGGCAATTTAACCTCCTTCCAAAAATATAAACTTTAGAAGTATCCCTTTCTTTCCTCCAAATTTAGAAGGAGCCGCTTATGGACTCCTCATCACTGCACAGGTGACTACTGCAACACTTGTAGAGTTCAAGGCCAAAACTATTCAAGTCTCTAGCCTGCTCATCAGTATAGCATAGGTCACATAATTCCATGAGCTATTCATATATATACACACACATATATTAATCTATAACTTGCGTTTTAAGTATTGGAGAGACAGAAGACCTAACACAGCATTTTGTAGCAATACTGATCATCTCATTATTAATTAAATAAGCAACCAGCCCCCATTATGACTAACTGGAATCTGTCTAGCTGCAGTTTCCTCCGGATGCTTGCCTAGGAGGATGCCTGTGAGTTCTTTCTAGCATTTGCAAGCCCAGGCTTGCCAAAATTTTTTTAACTGAGAAACACAGCCCATCTGCCCTGACCTCCCAAGAGCAGACAGAACCTTACACAGTTTTACATATATGCACACAAACACAGGCATGTACAGAAGCTGAAAAAAACAAAAATCTTTATGGTCTAAACGTGAGATATCCATTTCTGAAGAGCCCACCATCATGGGATTTGTGACTAACACCCCAGCAACTTCAGTAGTGTTCCACTGGGACAATTCCAGGCTGGAAGAGACCAGATTTAGTTGTAGAAGGCCAAACTGCACTCAGAGAGATTGCTGCAAACCTGGAAAGGCTTGTTTGCTTCTCTGGCTTCAGCCTGATTTACTCTAGGGTAGCAAGGATGTGAATGTCACCTGTATTATCTTAAGTTCTTGGAGCCAGATTTTTGTTTGGGAACCTATTTCCCATTGAAACTGTGAATGGGGTGCTGGATTTCCTTTTCTGGTCTGTCCATCAACTGCTAATGGATCTTACTGCCAGACAAAAATACGTATAAATAGTGTGTGTGTGTGTGTGCGCGCATATGTATCTGCAGGTTTTTCCTTCTGTAAATGAGAACAGATTTGCTATCATGTCTTTGTAGTTCAAAATAACACGAAAAGCCATCAGTCCAGGATTACAACCTTTATAGGGAAACGAGGCTCGGAGAGGACAGCGAGGAGATGATGAGGGCTGAACTTCTCCAGATGTTGGCAGGTCATACATTTCTCTGTGACTTAGTTTCCCTCTAAAAAATGAACCTAACAATAATACCTCTCTGGCCCATATTAATATATGATTTGATATTTATGAAATGTGGATGAGTTTCTGCAGAGAAATAGTTCCACAGAAAGAATATTTCACAAACATTTAGTTCATGATGAATTTAATTCTTTCCCCCTGTTGCTCAGGTACTCCACCGACAATAGCACAGAGGTTTTGAGGAGATTGATATCATTTTTCACACAAACATTTAATTAGGTGACATTGCGTCGCTCTCAGCTACTGCTTGTGGATTCCTGCAAACCCATCCGTTGAGGACTGACAGCTGAGTCAGGAACATAAACCTTCTATAAATCTGCTTTAGCGCCCGCTGGTCTTTAGCTAATAATAGAACATAATCTAATTGGAAATCTAAATGAAATCATCATGTTTTTCCTGCTTTAATATCGCAAAATTAATTCAGAGATGTAGCTGTGTCTGGACCACTGTCCATTTGCATTACAATGCAGTCTCTGCCTGAGTGAACCCCAGCTGCTCCCACTAGCACAGTCCTGCATCCCCCACTAGCATCTCTGAGATGTTTTGCACAAGCAGGTACCAACACAGGGCTGGAGCAAGGCTGAGCACCCAGCCGGCAACTTGGCAATGCTCATTTTTTACTTGCTTGCCCCTTTTTACAACGCAGGGCTTCGAAGCCCCGTTGTGAACAAGGTGGGTACAAAATACATCCAAATTACACTACAAACATCTGGGCTGCCTGAGAGGCAGACACGGAATCAAATCTAAATCCACAGCAACTTCAGCCTCACCACAGTCCCCATTCTGAAATGTTTCTTACGTTTCTGTTTCTTGCTGCTCTGCAGCTGCTGGATGGGACCTTGCAGCTCTCACTGCAACTCCCTACTTAGAAGTCAGCAAGAGATGCCTGGCAGTGTATGACAGAACTCCCTGCCGAGGGGGTCTCAGTGAATTACCCCCTGGGATATATTAATCCATTAGCCCTGCTTTATGCATTTTAAGAGAAAAATAAGAGGCCGTTGTAATTGACTCACACTTTAGTGCTCTATTACCCTGCCAGACATACAATAGAGACTGATGGGCAACGAGGGGTAGGCTGATGATAGAGCACTTAGACCCATTGCAAACAGCTTTCAGCAACTCTTCCTGCCTTGTGGGGTTTCTCTATCATTCCCTCCTTTGTCTTTCACTAATGGCATCATCTCAGATTTAGCAGCAGAATTCAGAGCAAGAGGGTGCCTGTAATTGATATTGACCCAAAGACAGAAAGGTTTCTGGCTAATGAAACAGCACCTTGTGCATTCCTGGAGAGAGCGTGTTCCTCCTGCCTGGCACCTGCCAGTTTTGATGAGGAGAAAAAGCAATTAGCACAGGTTGCCTGATACAAAATCTAAAAAGAATATATATATATATATATTGCAATGCACTTTTGGATTAGTGAGACCTCTCCTCCATCCCCTGGCGATGCCAGTATTGCTCGTGCTTTGCTTTGAAATAATACTGATCTACAGATACAGTCTCTGTGGCTCCTCTTCTGTCAATCACTAGACTCCACACCAACAGCTTTCACTACCTCTTCCTACCTGGTGGTAAAACTCAGCCATGGAAACCAGCACAGTTCTGGTGACTTCTCTGAGGTTACGCTGATTTACAGGCGCGGAGGTTCTGCTCTGGGGCTGTACCATCTTGCAGCTGCTGGGGACTCTCCATCATCAACGGGGGACTGTGGGCAGCGAGGCTGTTGCTTTGCAGCCCATTAGGTTTCCAAAGGTCCTTTTTGGGCACGTTTTGGAATGCACTGGAGTGGGGCTGTGACGTGACTGTCCAAATGTCCTTACCCAAATCTGCCTTGTATGTTCAGACCCTGCTTTATTTCTGAGGAACTTCAGGTACAAAATAAAGCACTAGAAGACTTAAGAAAGACTTATAAAGACTTAAGAAGCTACTTAGGTTGATAGAGAGAAAGCAATATGTGCTTAGGATGTCCTAGGGACCTCCTAAGGTGAAAAGAAAATCCCTCCAGGTTACAGGAATTCTAAAACATAAAAAATGATGGTTAGGCAAGATGTGAAGTTCTCAGAAAGGACACAGTGACATGCAGGGACTACTTTGAGAACTATGGGCTATGAAACAAGCTCAATACGGAAGAGTTCCAGATTCAAAAATTATCCAGGATAGAGTATATGTTGCCCAAATGATGCATTGTCACCTGTGTGCAAAAACGCAGCTGCAGAAAAGATGGTTATGTGATTAGGACTCTTTGGACCTTGAATTTCAATTTCCCATTCTGCTATCCCTTCTAGATGAACACTGTGCTTCATTTTTCCCATCTATATAGTGGGAGGCAATGGTATCTCCTATCCTTCGGGACTGAGTACGAACTTGTATTTGCAAGAAGTCAAAATGCTTTGTGCTAAGGGCCCTCTAACCAGGGAGGCAATGTCAATGAAGTAAACAGTGCTCCTCCTGATTTACGCTAAGGAAAAGCAGAATCTTGGTACACTGCCTCTGCTAGTCTAGTTAGACAGTTTTTTCCTATTTTGGCCCCCCTGTGCTCATACTTTGCCTGTTTTAATTCCTTGCTCTGTGCCTCTTGCTGCTGTTCTCCATTTGTCCCTTCTAGACCTACCCCTTCCCTCCTCCCTTTTCCCCACAAACCAGTAGGAAACACATGACTACTCCAGGCCAGAGGAGTACAGGAGGAGTTTCAGTTGTTTTGAAATATATGCCAACACATTTGCACCCATGCTTTGTGAAGACGGGGATGCTACGCCCACATGTGCAAGAGCCAGCCCTTAAAATAAGACCTAATAGTCAGACTGATGTTTACATCCTCTGGCAAAAAGGCTCTTTTGCAAAGACACCTCAGGGCAGATTCAGACATACTTGTTATTTCCTCAGCCACGCGCTGGTTTCCGGAGGTACTGATTAATTTGAAAGCTTTCTTCTTCTTCTTCTTTTTTTTCTCCCCCACTACTGTGGCTTTCCACCAAGAAGAGACTTTGTGTGAAATGTTAAGATGTGCACAACTGGCTTATTTGTGACCCTGGGCAATATTTGCATTACAGATGAGACAAGTGGCATGTATAGTTAGTCTAGGTGTCTTACCTGTCCTGATAGGTTTTGCGATGCCCTCTGTGGCAGGATCAGCTGCCTGAAAGAGAAGCAAGAGAAGAGATGGTTATTCTGGGAGCATACTCATGTTCAAGTACAACCCTGCTTTAAAAGTGGATCTTAAAAGTTTCCACTGCATGCCATGAAGGCAATACACAGCCTGATGCACAGGGAGCCAGCGCCAGGCGCTACAGAGTGTGTGGCTCCTATAGAGCCTCACAGGTCAGTGAGGGATTGCTGTGGAGCAAACAGCTCCGGCAAGCTCTCTGCACTCATCCGGATATCATCCTTAGTCATCCCTCGTCACTGCCTTTTTTTTTCTAATGCAGAAAATCTACATTTCTGAGACAGCCAGCAATTCTCTCAGTGCGGTAAGAAATGTGTATGGTTTTTGTTGGGACTGTTTTGGAAGAACAAGCCCTGAAAACCTCACTCTGTGGCTTGAAAAGCTTGGAGATAGTAGGACAGAGTGGGACTGGACACCCTTGAGAGCCAGTGTCCGTCCCTGGGAAGCCAGTAGCTAGATGAAAATAAAAGCTGTAGAGCCTCAACACAGGTCTGAGAGTGACAGAGTTGACCTGCTTCACCTCTGCTCCTTCTTCTTCCTGGGATGTAAACCCAAGGGTCAAAATGGCATGGGAAATTGTCCTCAATCAGCATGGCCTGAGAACTTCTCAGGAAACATGCTTTAAGTGTGAAATATGGTAGGCTTCATCTGTGGTCTTGCTTCTGTTTTATCACACCTCTCTGCCATCCAAACATACAATCTTGAAGCCTGTGTTTTCTCGCATATAACTTCCACACAAGTAAAGTCACTGACAGCTCATAAACGTCCGTCAGTGCCCTTGAGGAGCAAACAAATTCTCCCAACAGCCGAGGAAAGATACTGAGAGTGCCTCAGTGCTTGGAACTATGTGTCACGTCCCTTCACTCACACGCACTGGGCAGTCCCACAGTGATTTCAGTAGCAGGGAGCGGGTTTTGCTCAGGCTAGCCTAAACCACCTCCTCTCATCTGGGCTAATTGTGCAGGCTAACCAGGCCAGGCCCAATTTAGCATAGAATCATAGAATATCTGAAGTTGGAAGAGACCCATAAGGATCATTGAGTCCAATTCCCTGCTCCTCGCAGGACTACCTAAAACTAAACTCTATGACTGAGAGCATCGTCCAGATGCTCCTTGAACTCTGGCAGGCTTGGTGCCGTGACCATTTCCCTGGGGATCCTGTTCCAGTGACCGACCAGGATGTCCAAGAAGAAGAAAGTTGAGAAGCTGGTACCAGCTTTAGCAGAACATCTAATATCTCCTGGGAGAAATGAGGCACACCATGCATGTGGTGGGAGACAGCTTCATCCATAGTAGTCATAAAACATAAGCACTTTATTTTTGTGTGTAAATAGGATAACATGTGGTGTGGGGAGAAGGAATATGGTTGGACAGTGAGAAAAATCACGTTATGTCTGTTTGTGATACTTAATGTTCTAGTTTTAAATGTTTAAGAATACTTTTAATTAGACTTTGGCCTAACGTGACCATGTTTTCAACCATGGCTAAAGTGGAGAGCTGCATCTGGTCCCAGCAAAGCAATGTTATCCTTTGGTCTAATGCTAAAATGCTGTGTCCCGCAGACAGAGATGGCATAGGTGCTTCATAATTTGGGTATCTGTAATATATGATTTGTTCATTTTCTCTCCCCACACCTGTGTAACACAGGGGAGAAATTATCTGTTGAGACAGTATTTCTCCTAGCTGTACAGGAAGGCTGCTGGGTTAGGAGAAGAATGGGAACCTAGAGCTGTAGTTTGAAAAAACAGGCATTTGAAAGCTTTTT